TTTGCGAGCGCGGACCGGCAACCAATGCAACTCTCTCAGAAGTGTTTTAGCAAGGAGAGAAATTCCTCGGTAAGGAAAAATCACTACGGCCACCTTATTTTTGTTAAATGTTATGATGTTGGAGTCTCTCATGTCCTGGGGAATGTAACCTGCCTCCCAACACAGACATAGTCCCTGAAGTCCTGGGGAATGAGACCTGCTTCCCAACACAGACAGAGTCTCTGAAGTCCTGAGGAATGTAACCTGCCTCCCAACACAGACAGAGTCTCTGAAGTCCTGGGGAATGTGACCTGCTTCCCAACACAGACAGAGTCTCTGAAGTCCTGGGGAATGTGACCTGCTTCCCAACACAGACAGAGTCTCTGAAGTCCTTGGGAATAATAATAATAATAATAATAATAATAATAAAGTTCATTTAAAAACAGGCTTCATCCCCAAAGGCTCGAAGCGCGGTACAAAGTCAAAAAAAAAACAAATATATAATTTACCACATTTAAAACAAACGCAACACTACAAAAACTAATTACAAGCATACAATCTCAAAGTCTTTCTAGCCATTTCAACCATAAGCAACACAGCAATTATGAATTAACGAATGTGACCTGCCTCCCAACACAGAAATAGGCTCTGAAGTCCTGGGGAATGTAACCTGCCTCCCAACACAGAAATAGTCTCTGAAGTCCTGGGGAATGTAACCTGCCTCCAAACACAGAAATAGTCTCTGAAGTCCTGGGGAATGTGACCTGCCTCCCAACACAGAAATAGTCTCTGAAGTCCTGGGGAATGTAACCTGCCTCCCAACACAGAAATAGTCTCTGAAGTCCTGGGGAATGTGACCTGCCTCCCAACACAGAAATAGTCTCTGAAGTCCTGGGGAATGTGACCTGCCTCCCAACACAGAAATAGTCTCTGAAGTCCTGGGGAATGTGACCTGCTTTCCAACACAGACAAGGTTTCTCATGTCCTGGGGAAAGAGACCTACTTCCCAATACTGACAGAGTCTCTGAAGTCCTGGGGAATGTGACCTGCTTCCCAAGACAGTCAGACAAGGTCTAGCTGTGACACGAGTAGCGATGACGAGGTCTAGTTTCTGAAGTCCTGGGGAATGTGAACTGCCTCCCAACACAGAAATAGTCTCTGAAGTCCTGGGTAATGTAACCTGCCTCCCAACACAGAAATAGTCTCTTAAGTCCTGGGGAATGTGACCTGCTTTCCAACACAGACAGGGTTTCTCATGTCCTGGGGAAAGAGACCTACTTCCCAATACAGACAGAGTCTCTGAAGTCCTGGGAAATGTGACCTGGCTCCCAACACAGACAGAGTCTCTGAAGTCCTGGGTAATGTAACCTGCCTCTCAACACAGAAATAGTCTCTGAAGTCCTCGGGAATGTGACCTGCCTCCCAACACAGAAATAATATCTGAAGTCCTGGGGAATGTGACCTGCCTCCCAACACAGAAATAGTCTCTGAAGTCCTGGGGAATGTAACCTGCCTCCCAACACAGACAGAGTCTCTGAAGTCCTGGGGAATGTGACCTGCCTCCCAACACAGAAATAGTCTCTGAAGTCCTGGGGAATGTAACCTGCCTCCCAACACAGACAGAGTCTCTGAAGTCCTGGGGAATGTGACCTGCCTCCCAACACAGAAATAGTCTCTGAAGTCCTGGGGAATGTAACCTGCCTCCCAACACAGAAATAGTCTCTGAAGTCCTGGGGAATGTAACCTGCCTCCCAACACAGAAATAGTCTCTGAAGTCCTGGGGAATGTGACCTGCTTTCCAACACAGACAAGGTTTCTCATGTCCTGGGGAAAGAGACCTACTTCCCAATACTGACAGAGTCTCTGAAGTCCTGGGGAATGTGACCTGCTTCCCAAGACAGTCAGACAAGGTCTAGCTGTGACACGAGTAGCGATGACGAGGTCTAGTTGTGACGCGCCTAGCGATGACGAGATCTAGTTGTGACGCGCCTAGCGATGACGAGATCTAGCTGTGACGCGCCTAATGATGATGAGGTCTTGTTATGACGTGCCTAGCGATGACGAAGTCTAGTTGTGACGCGCCTAGCGATGACGAGATCTAGCTGTGACGCGCCTTATGATGAGGTCTAAATATGACGCGCTTAGCGATGACGAGGTATACTTGTGACGCGCCTAGCGATGACGAGATCTAGCTGTGACGCGCCTAATGATGATGAGGTCTTGTTATGACGTGCCTAGCGATGACGAGGTCTAGTTGTGACGCGCCTAGCGATGACGAGATCTAGCTGTGACGCGCCTAATGATGATGAGGTCTAGTTATGACGCGCCTAGCGATGACGAGGTCTAGTTGTGACGCGCCTAGCGATGACGAGATCTAGCTGTGACGCGCCTAATGATGATGAGGTCTAGTTATGACGTGCCTAGCGATGATGAGGTCTAGCTGTGGTTTAATAAGTATGAAACTGTTGTCAAGTTAACAAAGTTTGAGACTGTGGTCACATTAACAAAGTTTGAGACTGTGGTCACATTAACAAATATTGCGTTTAATAAAGTATAACGGTGATATGTCCGTTTTTAAACATGAAAAGAGACTTTTTGTGTAGTGGCGTAGAGAGACAGTGTGCCGCCCGTGGCGGACTTTGAGTTTGCTACCCCTTCCCCCACCACCAAAAACATATAGTGCTTTTAGGAACAATGAAACCGGAAATAATGAAACGCGAAATAGCGCTGTCCCTGGAATATGCGTCAACTGGCCCCGGAACGTAATAATTAGTAACACTAGCTGAACCTTGCGAATGTCATCAGATTGGCCTCGGGCCCAATGGTTTGACTTATATCCATAGTTTTATTTATAGAAAAGCTTCGGTCAATCTCATTGGCGGTAGGCGGGGCTTGGGGGGGGTGGGTGGGATCAAAGGCGCTGAAGGTTTCTGAGCCAAACCAAGATGCGGGCGGCCGGGGGGGGGGGAAGGTGCTTGGACACATCCCTTGAAAAATTTTATAAACTCAAAATACAAGGATTTAGTCTGGCGTATTCCTGAATTTAGTTTTGCATCAATCTACTCTTAATTTAGGAACAGAGAAATGCTGTGAAATTGTGTGTTTATTGTGATGTTGCGTTTATACAATTTATAATTGTTACTAAATAGTATTGTTTTATAATATTTAATTTGATCAAACTATTTTATATGTTTCAAATTCTTCATTGTTAATGATATATTTTTTGGAAAGAGCCAAAGCAACGTACTGGCACTCACATCACGAATAAGGCACGCATTATATAATCTGCTGTCCTCGTGTGGAGTGAGTCGTGACCTTGCATTATATTAGGATTAATGCCGAATGGCTAGAGTAACGGCCTGTCATATTTCTAATCAGATTTGGCTTTTTAATAATTCAGATTCGGCTTCCTTTTTTTCAGATTTGGCTACTTTTTTAAATTCAGATTTGGCTTATTTTTATTCAGATTTGGCTACTTTTTTAAATTCAGATTTGGCTTCTTTTTATTCAGATTTGGTTTCCTTTTATTCAGATTGACTTCTTCTATTCAGATTTTCCTTCTTTTTATTCAGATTTTGCTACTTTTTATTCAGATTTAGTTAGTTTTTTAAAATTCAGATTTGGCTTATTTTTATTCAGATTTGGTTTCCTTTTATTCAGATATGGCTACTTTTTTAAAATTGAGATTTGGCTTATTATTTATTCAGATTTGGCTTCTTTTTGCATATATACATATGTTTTATACATAGTAAAAATATGTATAAATATAAATACAAACATTGAAAGGTTATCCGGTTCCACGTATTATTTCGTCTTCTTTATTATTTTCATCGCATTATATGTTCAAGCGCCCCAGCCAGGGCGTACTGCAATCACGATCTGTGGACGATGATTAGTCATCTACGTGTCCCTATGTTGCCTGTAAACAGTGTCTCAAACGTCTTAATCCGACAAATGCATCGTGCAAAGGAAAAATTCGATTGCAAACACAAGATGGTGTTCAAAGTCATAATCGGAGGGGTGGATTTACTGTAAGACAAAACGAAAGCATACAATGATTAAAATTATAATTTAAATTTTAAAGAGATTTATTGAACTTAGACTTTAAAAAAAACGAAGCCTACACGTTATTTTTAACATCTCAAACAAGTCTATACCAGCAAACATCTCATGCATCTCCACACCAGTTAACATCCCAAGCAGGTTGACACTAGTTAATATCTCAAACAAGTCTATACCAGTTACCATCTCAACCATGTCTATTTCAGTTAACATCTAAAGAAATTACAAACTTTTATCAGTGTCAGGGAAAGCTCCGAGGGCGGGGGTGTTGCCTTGGGTACTAAGGGGGCCCTGGGTGTTAAAGGGGCACTGGGTGTTAAGAGGGCCCTGGGTGTTAAGGGGGCCCTTGGTGTTAAGGGGGGCCTGTGTGCTCCAGTTATGGAGGTGCTAAAATCTTTATTACAACGGCGAGTTAAACTGTAATATGATAATTCATATTAAAAAAAAATAGTTGATGCTTTGGGAGTGGGGGAGGGCTCCAGATTCAGACTTTGTTCCGGGGGGGGGGGGATTTTTCTTCCAACACTTCTGGTTTTACATATTATTTTATTAGAGTGTCTCTACGTAGCACACATTCTGCTTCAGATAAATACCATGTTTTTTTTCTTAAAACTGGGGGGGGGGGGGATTTTTCTTCCAACACTTCTGGTTTTACATATTATTTTATTAGAGTGTCTCTACGTAGCACACATTCTGCTTCAGATAAATACCATGTTTTTGTTCTTAAAACATCTTCGCTCCTGCCACTGTCCCCGGCGATGGAGTTATCTGTTAGCCTATTGGCTATCAATTCAGCCTGAGAGAAACTGATTATCTCAAACATCCTTACATGCAAAGATTTAAATTATTATCAAGATTAAGATATGGGAAGCTGACAGGGTAAACAGCTCCATTATATCGTATCTGTAGTAAATTAAGGGCCGTGCTAATAGCCAAATGAAAATCATTCGCAGTGGGAGATTGGCGCTACGATTTTTAAAACCCACAGCGCTGTGCAAGCATACCTAAGAGTTGTTTCCCCTGATAGAGTAAGCGTTCCTTTCTGGGTAAGGACAGACCAACGCTCAGTGATGGCAGACGGCGGATAGATCTTTTCATATTACGTCTGAATACATAGGCTTTTTTTCTTCTTCTGATTTTCAGAAATTGAATGGGTCCCAAGAAAAAGCGTGAAGTGGTTTTAGATTCTCAGTTGTATTACTTCATGGTATAATTCTTAAAAGGAGCCTAGAGTGCAGGTAAATTACGACTGACTGAGGTAATCGAAGCTACTCTTACACTACGAACCTTGTTCTTGTTATAAAAACATAAGTGAGACTCCATTTAACGACCACCAACTAAATAGATTAAAAATGTAAGCCACATGTTTAGCAAAGCAGTATGACAAATAATTACATAATTACATATCAGAAATTCTTTGCCATTATCAAAGATAGGAGTTTGTATACCCCCCCCCCCCAACCCCACCCTTCAATGAAATTAATCATGGAGTTGTGTCTTGATTTTCTTAAATTAACTTTTTTTCATTCATACTTGATTATCATTTAATGTATAACGTCGTATTTAGCATTTCACAAAGTGACGGAAATCAAAGCATTCAATTCCGATCAAATAATATAGAATTTGTTTGCGCGCATGTGTGTATGTATGTGTATGTGCGTGTATATGTGTGTGAGCGAGCGTATAAACTATGTGTGTGTTGTGGGATTGGGGGGGGGGCTTAGGCATGTACTATTTTCTACAACCTCCATGTTTATGGAGCTTCCAAACTGTTGATTTTTTTAATGAATAAATGAATGAACCTTTGGTTTAGTTGAAATGTTGCATAGCATAGTGGTTGGTTGTTTTTAGCCTAGGTTTTTTTTTTTGTAGACTGATCTAAGCCTGATTTAGTTTAATACAATTTTAATGTTTTGAATAGTGTAGTAACAACCCCAGACATTTGCCTTGCGCCCCAACTGAGATCTTTGCAGTGTTTCTAAAACATTTAATCACGATAGTTAAAATACAGAGCGTCTTAACAGGAGCAATACATTTGGCTCGTCCCTACGTGGAGCTATGAATCAAAGTATAACCTACGTCACACCAATTAGTCACCTCGTTAACTTGAACAGGCGGCAGGAATCTCAAAGTCATTAACGTCACCATAATTACTCTGTTACTGTTTCATAATTTCAAAGGTGTGTATATATAATTTTAATGGTGTGTATATTCAGTTTTAATGGTGTGTATATTCTATTGTAATGGTATGTATATATTCAATTTTAATTGTGCGTATATTCAATTTTAATGGTGTGTATATTCCATTTTAATGGTGCGTATATTCAATTTTAATGGTGTGCATATTCGATTTTAATGGTGTGTATATTCAGTTTTAATGGTGTGTATATTCCATTTAATGGTGTTTATATTTAATTTTAATGGTGTGTATATTCAATTTCAATGGCGTCTAATGTCTATATTCAATTGTACGGGCGTGTATATTCAATTTCAAAGGTGTGTATATTCAATTGTACGGGCGTGCATATGTTTAATTTTGAGGGTGACTATATGTTAAATGTTACACAATGAGCGCATCTCAACTGAAGATACTAAGCACGAATAAGGTGATATCGAATTGTGTGTTCCACCCATGGCCTTTCCAAGGACAGACTTGACCGTAGCGACACCTGGACAAAACCCAGAGGGGCCACCTGGGTCGCTCTTACACGTCGTTGTGTCACAGACAAGGCGGATTGTGGAGCTGGGTCAGGAGCTGTCAAGAAAAATCCCCCCAGTAACCGATCAACCCACTTTGTCAAATACTCTTGGACTTTATCGGATGACCTCACGTTTTGCTTGAGTTGGCATGTCGTGCTTAGCCAGTAGGGGATAACTCTGTATCCAAGTAAAGCAGAGATAACAAGCATTATCTTTTCCTTTGTTAGACATGCATGAATACTACAGGAGTCTTTACTCTAAATCCAGAGCCATATGAGCCAGTCTTACCGTCTAAAGGTTTCTGATAAATACACTGTATTTTCCGACGTTTAAGACGACGTTTTGAGCCATGAACATTTTTTCAAAAGTAGGGGCCGTCCTATACGCCGGGGTCGTCTTATACACCGGGGGTCGGGGGTCGTCATATAAGCCGGGGGTCGTCATATACACCGGGGGTCGTCATATACACCGGGGGTCGGGGGTCGTCATATAAGCCGGGGGTCGTCTTGTAAGCCGTGGGTTGTCTTACAAGCCGGGGGTTGTCTTATAAGCCGGGGGTCGTCTTATAAGCCGGGGGTCGTCTTATAAGCCGGGGGTTGTCTTATAAGCCGGGGGTTGTCTTATAAGCCGGGGTTGTCTTATAAGCCGGGGGTTGTCTTATAAGCCGGGGGTTGTCTTATAAGCTGGTATAAGGCGTGCTGACACTTCAGGGACAGGCGCCCTCTAGTTTCGTTGACAGCTTAGAAAACAAAGATCCTGGCAGCTCCCATGGGAAGAGGGGTGGGTAGTCTTATACGGCGAGTAGCCCAAAGCTATGGGTAGTCTTATACGGTAAGAGTAGCCAAAGATAGGGGTAGTCTTATACGGCGAGTAGCCGAAAGATATGGGTAGTCTTATACGGTAAGAGTAGCCCAAAGATAGGGGTAGTCTTATACGGCGAGAGTAGCCCAAAGCTAGGGGTAGTCTTATACGGTGAGAGTAGCCCAAAGCTAGGGGTAGTCTTATACTGCGAGAGTAGCCCAAAGCTAGGGGTAGTCTTATACGGTGAGAGTAGCCCAAAGCTAGGGGTAGTCTTCTACGGCGAGAGGAGACCAAAGCTGATATTTCAACAGGAAAAGTAGGGTAGCAAGTCGTCTTATACGGTATTTGTTAATGGCAGAACTGCATGCAAGGTGAAGCACCCTTAAGTGGAAAATTGAAAAAAAAAAGTGACTTTAACAAAAGGCTGTGGGGTTTCTTGAATCCTAATCTATAGACAACACAGATTCAGTTTCTATGTTGTTGACTTGTTTTATTTTGTTTTTTTTCTTTAGGGGTTTCGTTTGGGGCCTTTGAAATTGAGCGCTTACCCCCCCCCCCCCCCTAACTTAAGGCGTCCCATCTCTTGTGATCGGTCTATTTAATGCCATGAATACTTGACATCATGCAATAACTTGGGATCAGGGTACTTGACATCATGCAATAACTTGGGATTAGGGTACTTGACAGCAGACAATAACTTGGGATCAAGGTACTTTACATCATGTAATAACTTGGGATCAGGGTACTTGACAGCATGCAATAACTTGGGATCAGGGTACTTTACATCATGCAATAACTTGGGATCAGGGTACTTGATAGCATGCAATAACCTGGGATCAAGGTACTTGATAGCATGCAATAACTTGGGATCAGGGTACTTGATAGCATGCAATAACTTGGGATCAGGGTACTTGACAGGATGCAATAACTTGGGATCAAGGTACTTGATAGCATGCAATAACTTGGGATCAGGGTATTTGACAGCATGCAATAACTTGGGATCAGGGTACTTGACAGCAGGCAATAACTTGGGATCAGGATACTTGACAGCAGGCAATTACTTGGGATCATGGTACTTGACAGCATGCAATAACTTGGGATCAGGGTACTTGATAGCATGCAATAACTTGGGATCAGGGTACTTTACATGATGCAATAACTTGGGATCAGGGATTCTCTTGGAGTCCCGCACGATGTAGACCAAACAAAGGGATTCCCGGGAAATATTTCCATGTCACAACATCCGGTGCCTACACTTTTGGAATGCAATATTCTTTTCTTTTTTATCACAATTATCACACATTGTCGTTATACGCCAGGAAATGTCAACGACAGTTGACTACACCCAGGTAATAAACTCTGTCACAATAGTACAGAGGTTCTCATGCGTTTTCATTTCACGACCACATTCATCTCGAAGTAAATCGACCCTTACCACTAGAGATTGGAAAAACGAGCCTTGAAATATGGTCAATTCTTGGAAAGGAAACCTTTTTAATACTTAATTTTCCAGTGTAAGGTTATGGTCAACACATTAATTGTCATGTAATTGTCTACACATTTAATGTCATGTAATTGTCGACTTATTTATTGTACTGCAATTGTCGACATATTTATTGTCATGTAATTGGTGACATATTTAATGTCATGTGATTGTTGACATATTTATAGTAATGCAATTGTCGACTTATTTTATGTCATAATTGAAATTGTAACTTAAACTTTAAGACGCAACTTAAAAAATTCTTTTTTTTTTAAATTTAAAAAGCACTACTTCCTTTAGTCTATTATTTCAAACGGCGAAAGCACATAAATTACTTTGCAAACCCTTTTTTGAGGTCGCCCCCCCCCCCTTCCCCCCATGGGCTGGAACCCGTGCTCTGGTAACTTGATTATCCCAAGACTTGATGTGTCAAGCTACCTTTTCATTATGCAGTGTTTTTTAAAAAATCCCAAATTTAACACAGTGAGAACATTCCTACATTCCTAATTTTCTTTTTGTTTTTTGTTTTTGTTTTTTTGTCAAACAGAACCCATTTTTTACAAATTGCTAGCAACATTTGCATGTCAATATTTCATAAGGGATTTGAGGCTAAAAGTAGCAACCTGTAAAAGAATCTAAATTTCGCAAAGTGTTGAGTTATTTTTCTTTCTACAGGTGGTTTATCCAACTTTCGTTTAACCAGCATATTATTAGCTTGGGATAAGCAGTAGAAAATGAAGCAGCTAGTACAGTGGTTCTCAACCTTCCTAATACCGCGACCTTTAATACAGTTCCTCAAGTTGTGGCGACCCCCAACCACAAAATAATTTTCGTTGCTACTTCGTAACTGTAGAGTATTTGTGTTTTCCGATAGTCTTAGGCGACCCCTGGGAAAGGGTTGTTCGACCCCCAAAGGGATCGCGACCCACAGGTTGAGAACCTCTGAGCTAGTAGCTAATGACCAAACTCTTAACTAACCATAGTTAAAAAAGTTTACTTATTTATTCATAGACAATAACAATTAAAGGACTATACAAAATCAAGTTTTTAATTAGTTTAACTAAGTTTATATTTTTAATGAAATAAATTTCATTCCGGGATTTCGGAAGGAGGAAAATTCTACGGCAGTTTCTAGGGATACGCAAATCCCGGGACATCAAAACCCTATTTGGGATCAGTCTATTGAACGCTCGCAGTTCTTTACAGCGAGTCACATCGTGGGTTCGATTTTTTGAAAGCACTGAGTATTTCACAGCGTACCATGTCTTGGGATCGGTCTAGTGAATGTCTTCGGTACTTCACAGCGTCCCATGTCTTGGGGTCGGTCTAGTGAATGTCTTCGGTACTATACATCGTGCCATGTCTTGGCATCGGTCTAGTGAATGTCTTCGGTACTTCACAGCGTGCCATGTCTTGGGGTCGGTCTGGTGAATGCCTTCGTACTATACATCATGCCATGTCTTGGGATCGATCTAGTGAATGCATTGGGTACTATACATCATGCCATGTCTTGGGATCGGTCTAGTGAATGCCTTCGGTACTTTACATCATGCCATGTCTTGGGATCGGTCTAGTAAATGCATTGGGTAATATACATCGTGCCATGTCTTGGCATCGGTCTAGTGAATGTCTTCGGTACTTTACATCGTGCCATGTCTTGGGATCGGTCTGGTGAATGCATTGGGTACTATACTTCGTGCCATGTCTTGGGATCGGTCAAGTGAATGCATTGGGTACTATACATCGTACCATGTTTTGGGATCGGTCTGGTGAATCCCTTCGGTACTATACAGCGTACCATGTTTGTCCTGCGGCCCTGAGAACGGGTTAACCTTATAGTTCATGTTTAACGTATATAGGCTCAGGCCGCAAGAAGACATTTGACTCCTCAACAATGGGACGAACGAATTGAAACAACAACCAAGGCATCTAAAGTTTGGGTTCCAATTTTAAAAGTTACATTTAGTTGCTATACTTATAACTATTAGGTATTTTTTACGGCTAATATGTATAGTTATAGAAATATGAAAAGTTCATTTACGAAGTATAACTACTACTGATGCATTAGGTTGTTTTTTAATTGCAGAAAATAAACGACAAATGTTCATATTAACTGTTCAACCGCTTTTAACAAGTTATCGTCTTGACAGTTTGAGAAGCTTCAAGGCATCGTGCTACTTGCTTACAATAATATCGCATTTTGTTTCAAAACGCACATTTTTTTTTATTGTTCCCATTAAATATTGTTTACAAAATATTGTTCAGCCCATGAACTAAATCCCTCGCCGGGATGGGACAAATACTTTCTTTTATAAAAGTGGCGTGAATTTTTGTTCAAAATTGTATCAATCATTTTTTAATAATTGAAATATATCCATTTTCCACATTTCACCGGCAATGCTCATTTCTCAAGTTCTAAACAAGGGCCCCGTGTAATCCTAGCGTTGTACTATGAGTACCCCATATGTTCTGCTTGACCATATTTTCGTTACCCATGTTTAAGGTCTGTGTGACGCATGAATGGATGACACCAGCACCAAGGTACTTTGTATGGTTCTGCTGTTCATTGACACCCTCCTGTTTGGATGGCCGCCCTACCTGCTGGTCAAAGATGGAAACCAGACGCCCCGGGTGGCGCGGATAAGAAAACTTGTCATCTCTTACTTAACCTGCTTTGCCGGGGGCGTGTTCTTTGGGGCGTGTATGCTCCACCTACTGGCTGAAGGGAGGGAAGAAATGGAGGAGTACTTCATTAAGGTCAGTGCTGGCAATGGAAGGCGAAAGTTGAGTTGACAATGTTGTTCTGTGTTTATCAATCGAAGATATCTCACTTTATCTTTTAAGATAGATAACATAAGTTTCTTTAATTGATCCATTGTACATGTTTATTTATGGCATATTGATACACATTCTAATTAAATAGAGAAATAACTAAACTAGTACAGTGTAAACGTAAAGGAAAATGAAGTCTTGTGAACCATAACGTTACTCATCCTTAAATAAAATGAGTTTAAGTTGTACTAACCTGATTGCAGTCTCTCCCCTTATTACCCCTCGTCCTTAAAGTAATTGTAAAAGCAAAAAAAGCGAAAGAAAAGGGAAAACAATCAGAAAAGATCCATATAGAGTACAATGTATTTAAAGTGACAAACAATTAAGTATCTTTAACTAGCACACAGCATTGTGGATAACTCTGGATAGCAAAATTTGTTCTCCAGAGTTATCCAAAATGCCACATGTTTTACCGGTTATCCAAAGTATGGCAATCATTCAAGTAAACTTGGGGGATAACTCTGGATTTAACAGGTTATTCAAAGTATGACAACCGTTCATAACTGGCAATACACATGTGTTTCATAACTGGCAATACACAGGTGTTTCATAACTGGCAATACACATGTGTTTCATAACGAGCCATACTCAGTTGGATAATGAAATGAATGGCTATGATTACGGATTACAACAGTAGACGCGTACAGTGATTATTTCAGAAATTTTCCCCCGGGGGGTACTTCAGAGTTTTCTGGGGGAGGGGGGCGGCAAAGGCGTTCTTAGGAGTTTGGGGCCCTAAGCATGGAGCGTAGGTTGGGGGCCCCTGAAGGGGTGTCCTGGGGTGGAGCTCACTCGAGCTGAGGAGAAAACACCCCCTACAACTGCGGCACCTCCATTCTGCCTTCATTAATGTTTCCTCTTTCCCATTCCCATGGCCAAGCTCCTGATTTCCTGTCTGCCACACCCAAAGCTCCCCCCCCTGCTGCTTCCTTTCCACTGCCTCCGAATTCAACTCAGAATGATACATTTCAGGATGAGGAAGGTAACGTGAATGACACAGACGGCTGCAGTGCCAGTTAAAAAAAAGGGGGGGGGAGATCGAGGGCGCCTCACTGGGGCCCCCACACGTTCGGGGCCCTACGCGGATGAGTAGTCAGCGTATGCCTAAGAACGGGCCTTTTGGGGGGGGGGCAGTTCCAGCAGTGCCAGTTGATTTATTGGGGGGCACTTGGCTTTCCCGGGGGGGAGAGGGGGGGACTGCCCTCCCGCAGATATAGCTGAAAGAAACCCTGGACGCGTATTACTATGAAGGGGCACCTGGCCACATTTTATACAATCTTGTAGTTGAAAAAAAAAGTTTTTTATTCGGCCTTTAAAAAAAAAAATGTTTTTCCACACATTCCGTCGATGACAAACTGCTTTGAAATTTATGTGCCATTTTTAGGTGTAGTTGACCTTGACCTTTCTGTTAACCAGGCCGACGTGACCATAGACTTCCCTGTGTTTGAAACTGTTGTGGCCGGTGGATTCTTTACGATCGCCCTGATCGAGCAGATTGCCCATCGCCTGATGAAAGGCTCAGCTGACGACCCCCACACATCGCTGGACCTTAAAAGGGCGAGCCTCAACAGCGAGGCGGTCAACGGAGGTAATCCAAGGTATTCATTTTATCAGGTATAGTGGGCGAGGGGTGGGGGTGGGGGGCTACCTGGGGTGGCATAGCTGGAGCATGGTGTAAGGTGCTGTATATGTTGACATAGGAGTAGCAGGTCATGCGGTGCTCTATAACTTGATATAGGTTTTTATGTTATAAGGCACTGGGTATTTTGACATAGGTCTACCATTGTATATGGTGCTGTATTTGTTGACATAGCAGTAACATGATGTGACATTTGATGTGACATAGCTCTAGTACCAAATAATTAAATACATGTTTTTTATATGATTTACGTGTCCTATGCTATAGTATTGTGATACATATGTTGACATGATGTATCGTAAGGTAGGATATTGTGATACATACGGTGATATGATGTGTCGTATTGTATAGTATTGTAATACATGTGGTGACATAATGTGTCGTATGGTTTAGTATTGTGATACATATGGTGATATGGGGTACCATATTTCGCTCTACGACACAAGAGCTGGGAATTTCGAGGTATAATCCGATCGCTGATTTGAGTGCCATTGCTTGAGTCCATCTCTTCCCAGAGAAGGAATCGCAGACTAAGTAAAATAAAAGAAGATAACTTGATAGTCTTGTCAGACTGACATCAATGAATCTCGTAAGACAAGGTCAGGCAAGGTCAGACAAGCTCGCTGAATGAGTTCGCCAGCACTGTTGTCTAAACTTTGAATTGATTACCGATTTCAGCATGACCTTTTCTTTGACAGAACAACTGGCGGGGAGAGGAAAAGATGGGGGGCAGGTGGGAGGCAGGTAGGGTGAAGGACAATGGAATGACGACAATGAAAGATTCATGACCATGAATATATGAATAAAGGAGCGGAAATAATTATAACTGATGATTTGGTCTAAGCAAACTGGTTTGACCTTAGGCACAACGATTGGCCCTGTGTCTAACAAAAGACACAAAGATTGGCCCTGGGTCTAATCAAAGACACAAATATTGGACCTGGGTCTAACCAAAGACACAAAGATTTGACCTGTGTCTAACCAAAGACACAAAGAATGGCCCTGGGTCTAACCAAAGGCACAAAGATTGGACCTGGGTCTAACCAAAGACACAAAGATTGGACCTGGGTCTAACCAAAGACACAAAGAATGGCCCTGGGTCTAACCAAAGGCACAAAGATTGGACCTGGGTCTAACCAAAGACACAAAGATTGGCCCTTGGTCTAACCAAAGGCACAAAGATTGGCCTTGGGTCTAACCAAAGACACAAAGATTGGCCCTGGGTCCAACCAAAGGCACAAAGATTGGCCCTGGGTCTAACCAAAGGAACAAAGATTGGACCTAGGTCTAACCAAAGACACAATGATTGGACCTGGGTCTAACCAAAGACACAAAGATTGGACCTGGGTCTAACCAAAGACACAAAGATTGGCCCTTGGTCCAACCAAAGGCACAAAGATTGGCCCTGGGTCTAACCAAAGGAACAAAGATTTGACCTAGGTCTAACCAAAGGCACAAAGATTGGCCCTGGTTCTAACCAAAGACACAAAGATTGGACCTAGGTCTAACCAAAGACACAAAGATTGGCCCTGGGTCTAACCAAAGGCACAAAGATTGGCCCTTGGTCTAACCAAAGACACAAAAGTTGGCCCTGGGTCTAGTCATATTGATAGAAGACATGTTCTGATAAATTTGTGGAACGAAAGTTGTTCCTCATCTCCACGGTCAATTTATTTAACTTCCTGTAAGTGAGTTGAAATTTCTTTCCTCTTGGTGATGAAACAATCAGACCTCGCGGTGATGAAACAATCATACCTCGTGGTGATGAAACAATCAGACCTCGTTGTGATAAAACAATTAGAGTTCTAAAACTAAGAAGACATCTGCCAATGTTTTCATTAAGAAGAATAATGACGGAGTCAAAGACATACAGAAGTTATTCCATGCCATGCGGGAGGACTATCTGTTGAGCTAAAGTCTTCAGCAATGGACCATTTTCACCGTCAGATAGATCATTGATAAAACGCTCACCGATTTCTTTAGGAAAACTTTAAAAAAAAAAAAAAAAAAACTACAACAATCAAGTACATAGCATGTTAGATAGCTGAATGAAAGTGAACACACATAACGTGTGATAGAACAGGACTTGTGATAGAGCACAAGATATCGACATTTTCCGAAATATATTTATTGTTCTATACTGTCAGGGACCAAAGTACAACACTATTTTTATGTAAGATGAACCCACCCCACTCCCCCCGGGGCCCATATCACATCGTGATCACAGGAATTTTGAGTCCCCGGATAATGCCCTTGGTTTTGACCTGTACAAGATAAGAGATTAGTGTCCCCTGGGTCATGAGACACTAGACGCCATATAAGCAAAATGAGCCTTTGGATAAATGGAGCTTTGGGCAAGGGCTCTAAATCATGTGGTATGAGAACACTTGGCCAAGTTAACATAGGATGATCATAAGCTGAAATAACAATCAGAATCTTTAAAATTGATCCACTGAATTCACTGTACAGTGAATTAAAAAAAAAATCATACCGGGAAATATAATGTAATGGATAATAGAGAGTCAAGGTCAGCAGTAATATATAGTCAAGGTCAGCAGTAATATATAGTCAAGGTCAGCAGTAATATATAGTCAAGGTCAGCAGTAATATATAGTCAAGGTCAGCAGTAATATATAGTCAAGGTCAGCAGTAATATATAAAAGTAAGGTGTGCGCCAAGCATACAAAAATAGACAATGATAAACATTAAATAAAATGTAGAAGGAATAAAAAACAACAACGGTAATAATGGGGGAGACTGGTAACCAACAAGAAATTAAAAAAATTGTAACACGATAACGTAATAAAAACGTAACCTTTGAATATACTTTTAATAAGAAAATTCTGTTTAAGTCCCTCAGTGCAGCGAAACTCCATGGCCGAATAGCATTCAATATTGTACTTATCACTCATCCAAATAAGAGCTAATATCACATGAAGTGAAAAAATGGATATTTGCGTACGTACGGGGCTAACAATCCCTTGGATGATTTTTAAAAAAGTTATTAAAAATGCGGGGGGCCGGGGGGGGGAGAGGGGGGTTCGATACTTAAATTTTGCCCCAGGCAACACAAGATACGCCTCAGAATAAAGGAATAAATTTGAAAAATAATTAACCTTCCTGGGTCCTGGGTTCATACATATCGAGGGTAGGAAAAAAGGGTGTGTAGATTTTTGCGTGGAAGACAACATCTTTAAATCCAATGATATTACAGCTTTGAAAAAGAGATGTTACATTCTCTTTTTTTTTTTTTTCTTTCTTTTTTTTACAAATAAACGCATGTTTAACAAATAAGAAAATCCATGACGTAAACAAAACGTGGGTACATTGACATAAGTTACCCATGAATATCAAAACTCAATTATTTTACATGCGTGGAAATTTCATTTTGAAAAATAGAGATAGGTTAAGATTTTCTTTCAAATGAAAATATATTTTTGTTTACTACTTTTCGAACAGTAAAGTGGGTGGGTGTATGAGATCAATAACATATCTGTAAAAAAAAAGACACCCAAGGCTGTTACAGACTTCTTTAGATAAAATAATTCTTTGTTTTACGATTTTTCGATAATAATATTAGAAAACAAAGAAAAAGTTTGATTACATTTTTAATGATTCCGTTAATATAAAACATATTTAAAATGGTATATACAGTTTTTGTTTTAAATTTAAGATTAAGCTTTCACAATTTTTGGGGAAACAGAATTCAGCTTAGGGGCAGTTGCGTAGCGAGAGTGTTTGGCGCCCGGGGACATCTGTCCCCCCTGCCCCCACCACGCTACGCCTCTGCTTAGGGGCAGGAAAAGTCGTATTGTAGGTCCAAGAATTAACAATTTGAAATCTCACGACATCTAAAGTATTTATATAACGTAGAAATCAGCCATCAATCATTTCCTTTATTGACAACGATACGTTAATTTGTGATCATTTAGATTTGATAATTTAAGGCCATGTTTAGAGGGGAACAAATTTAGTTCAACACAAAAGGGGGGAAGGGTTGGCGTATAATATATAGCAGAAAAATATTTGTTAAAACTTTTAATGATGTTAGAAAAGTAAACATCATTACATAGATACTTCTTTTTAAAAAACGGAATTTTGATGAGTTTTCACAATAGTAGTCGGAAATGATCGCCAAAGGCCTGCCATTATTATATCGATAATATCGGGTGTTCTTTTCTAGTATATTATATTTAAACTATATACACATTATATCTGATTATACCCCGTAGAGTAGTTGTTCTCAACCTTTTCTAATTCTGCGACCCCTTTATAAAATGTTGTGGCGACACCCAGCAACAAAATTATTTTCGTTGCTACTTCATAACTGTGGCGTATATGTGTCTTCAGATGGTTGTAGGCGACACCTGGGAAAGGACCCACAGACTGAGAACCGCTGCCTTAGAGGGTATCTCCTCCCCTTTCTGTCAATCCCCAAGGGGTGTTTAGTTATTCGCTACGGATAACATTTCAGAAAAGACATAGTTTTAATAGGATTGGAAGCACAATAATTCTACTGATGAAGAGTTGAGTTAGGTTTTTAAAATTTAAAAAGTTGGTTTTTAAAGTATTAAAAGTTAGGTTTTTCAAATAGAAGAACAAGGTATTTGGAAGCTTGAATCAAAAGACAGGACAATAAGGTAAGAAAGTTTCGACCAAGAGCCTTCCTCAGCAGACAGGACAGATGAGAGAGACGTCCGGAGCGGTTGGTGGAGCGTTAAGACGTAGATGAAGAGAGACACATCTGGAGCGGTTGGTGGAGCCGTAAGACTTGCATGAAGAGAGACACCTCCGGAGCGGTTGGTGGAGCGTTAAGACGGTTGGTGGAGCGTGAAGACGGTTGGTGGAGCGTTAAGACGGTTGGTGGAGCGTTAAGACGTGCATGAAGAGAGACACGTCTGGACCGGTTGTTGGAGCCGTAAGACTTGCATGAAGAGAGACACCTCCGGAGCGGTTGGTGGAGCGTGAAGACGGTTGGTGGAGCGTTAAGACGGTTGGTGGAGCGTTAAGACGTGCATGAAGAGAGACACGTCTGGAGCGGTTGTTGGAGAAGGGCTGGAAATATATCAAGTTTAGTTGATGCACCCCATAACATTACCACATAAACTGCGCCCCGTCAAGCGAGTGTCATCGTCAGCGGTTCCCTGAAATATGGGTTGGATAACACACTCGCTATATTATTGTTTTAGATAGGAATTAGGACAGATATATCATAGCTCTTGTTTCTTTTGTTACACTGTACCAGAGGGGGTCAATACAGATAGGTCTATATCATAACTCTTGTTTCTTTTGTTACACTGTACCAGATGTGGTCAATACAGATATATCACTGCTTTCATTTCTTTTGTTACACTGTACTGGGCCTTATGATCTTTTAATGAAAATACGACTAGAAATAGCAACTAGTTTAAAAAAAAACTGTAGTGTTCTCCATTGTTGCCAGAAGTTTTTAACTAGTTTTCCAATTGAATTTCATTGTTCCTAAAGCACGCCGCCCAAGGGCCTGGACAATCTCTTGTATCAAACATCAACAGTGCCGACGGTCAGCGGCGACACTGTATCAAACGGCGTGGCTGGGGTCTACCAGCCCCGTGGCATGTACGGCGCTGTCGAAGTGACCAACAGCCAGTCAACGGCAGACGAGAACACCATTTGCTATAAAGCAAGGGACGCGAACGGAGTTCCTTCCTGCGACATGTCTGGCGCTGTTATCTCCCCTTCAATGCAACCCAGCCAAGCATTGGAGGAGAAAAGAGATGACGAAGGTGAGGCCACGTGGTGTAATGGTACGTCAAAGGTCAGCGGTTACTAAACATATTCGACAGGAGGTTATCTGTTACAATAAAAGTTAACAAGTCTGCTAACAGCCATGCGCCACTATTGTCTCTTGTAAAAAAAAGACATTTACTTGAGACCCGTATTTTAAAATTAAATATAGGTTTGAGGTGAAGGCCAGTGGCTTTCGACGCACTCTCGGATTATGCTTTTACTATTACGCGTTGTACTTTATTATTGTTTGGGACACCCCTCGCTCTGCGGGCCAGAGGAAAAAGTCAGAGAACTCCATGCGGTCCCCCAGGCCTTGCGTTTGCATATTCGCATGGGATTAGTGCAACAATGTTTTCAAAAAACTTAATGCAGTTATCGGATGACAAGCCCTCCCCAGCCTGTCAACAAAGGAAAGTAGCCAAACACTAGACGGAGTTAGCTAAAGTTGGTTTCAGAACGGGGTCTTGGTTAGATAAAAGAAGAGGGTGCGACTAGAACCGGGAGCCACTAGAACGGGGTGCCACTAGAACGGGGAGCCACTAGAACAGGGTGCCACCAGAAAGAGGTGCCACTAGAACAGGATGCCGCTAGAACGGGGTGCCACTAGAGCAGCGTGCCACTAGAAAGGGATGTCACTTGAACGGGACGCCACTAGAACGGTACCCCACTAGAACGGGGTGCCTCCAGAAAGGGGTGTCACTATAACGGGGTGCCACTAGAACGGGGTGCCACTAGAACAGGGTGCCACCAGAAAGGGGTGCCGCTAGAACGGGGTGCCGCTAGAACGGGGTGCCGCTAGAACGGGGTGTCACTTGAACGGGATGCTAGTAGAACGGCTTGCCACTAGAACGGGGGGCCACTAGAACAGGGTGCCACTAGAACGGGGTGCCANAAAGGGGTGTCACTATAACGGGGTGCCACTAGAACGGGGTGCCACTAGAACAGGGTGCCACCAGAAAGGGGTGCCGCTAGAACGGGGTGCCGCTAGAACGGGGTGCCGCTAGAACGGGGTGTCACTTGAACGGGACGCTATTAGAACGGCTTGCCACTAGAACGGGGGGCCACTAGAACAGGGTGCCACTAGAACGGGGTGCCACTAGAACAGGGTGCCTCCAGAAAAGGGTGCCGCTAGAACGGGGTGCCGCTAGAACAGGGTGCCACTAGAAAGGGGTGTCACTTGAACGGGGTGCCACTAGTACGGGGAGCCACTAGTATAGGACTTGACCAAAAAGAGCAGGTTGTCCATAGAGCAGGTTGATGACAGAGCAGGTTGTGATTCTCCTATTTTTTTCCCTCCTATTTAAGAGGAAAATAACGGCGTGCAGTCTACGTCAAAAGATTTTTTTTTAAGAAGTATTTTAAATTATTTACAACTAATAATTTTTAACCATTATGACTGACGGTGTATTTTTACAGGGTCAAGTTTTGTGAAAACCACGACATACAAATCATTCCACATAAAATGTCCATGGATTGTTTCTTGTTATTTCATGGCGATGTTGAATCTTCTATTCAGTCAAACTGACTAGAAATAAATATCCCTTCTCGATCCCATGCAGGCGTAGGTCATGGCCACTCCAAGGATTCTGAACTTGTGAACGTCGCGGTGACCATCGAGGCCAACCCACTGAGGGCGTTCTTGCTTCTAGCCGCCCTTTCCTTCCACACCGTGTTTGACGGGCTGGCGGTCGGTCTGCAGACCAAAGCGTCCAACATTTGGGAGGTACAAACATCAATACAAACTTGGGTCAGACAAACATCAATACAAACTTGGGTCACACTAACATCAATACAAACTTGGGTCACACTAACATCAATACAAACTTGGGTCACACTAACATCAATACAAACTTGGGTCACACTAACATCAATACAAACTTGGGTCACACTAACATCAATACAAACTTGGGTCACACTAACATCAATACAAACTTGGGTCACACTAACATCAATACAAACTTGGGTCACACTAACATCAATACAAACTTGGGTCACACTAACATCAATACAAACTTGGGTCACACTAACATCAATACAAACTTGGGTCACACTAACATCAATACAAACTTGGGTCACACTAACATCAATACAAACTTGGGTCACACTAACATCAATACAAACTTGGGTCACACTAACATCAATACAAACTTGGGTCACACTAACATCAATACAAACTTGGGTCACACTAACATCAATACAAACTTGGGTCACACTAACATCAATACAAACTTGGGTCACACTAACATCAATACAAACTTGGGTCACACTAACATCAATACAAACTTGGGTCACACTAACATCAATACAAACTTGGGTCACACTAACATCAATACAAACTTGGGTCACACTAACATCAATACAAACTTGGGTCACACTAACATCAATACAAACTTGGGTCACACTAACATCAATACAAACTTGGGTCACACTAACATCAATACAAACTTGGGTCACACTAACATCAATACAAACTTGGGTCACACTAACATCAATACAAACTTGGGTCACACTAACATCAATACAAACTTGGGTCACACTAACATCAATACAAACTTGGGTCACACTAACATCAATACAAACTTGGGTCACACTAACATCAATACAAACTTGGGTCACACTAACATCAGTACAAACTTGGGTCACACTAACATCAATACAAGATTGGGTCACACTAACATCAATACAAACTTGGGTCACACTAACATCAATACAAACTTGGGTCACACTAACATCAATACAAACTTGGGTCACACAAACACCAATACAAACTTGGGTCATACAAACTTCAATACAAACTTGGGTCATACAAACTCCAGTACAAACTTGGGTCATACAAACATCAATACGAACTTGGGTCAGACTAACTTGTAAATTAAGGTTATGAAAAATGTGTCACATGATCAGCAACATTAAACATATGAGCACTACCAATATGCATTTAAAAAAAAAATGATGCATCTAATTTACTCTCACCTGAGCGACTATTTGAAACAATGTTATCAGATGTAGTCTAAAATGAAGTGACATGACGGAATGAAGCAGGTTGATGACATTAATTGTTAGGGTTTTGATTCAGGGTTGTTATAAGCAGAAGGACACACGTCTTCGAAGCATTCGATCAAGAAACAGTTATAAAGTAATTCGTTTCTTTACTTTGTTGATGATGAAAGGATTACACCGCCACCTAGCAGTTAAAAATGTTTGACACGTTTGCATCCTCAGATGTTCGCTGCCATCTGCATCCACAAGTCGTTGGTGGCCTTGTGCCTCGGCATGCAGCTGTTCCTGGTTTACAAGTCCAGACCGGTGAAAGCCTTCTTCTGGGTTTTTGTGTTCTCGCTGATATCTCCGATAGGTGTCGGTGAGTACCGCCCCCCCCCCCCCAAAACTGATATTTTCTAAACAAACTCTCCTTCAGATATAACATCATGTGATGATGAGTAAGAAACCAAGTAGGTCTAACTACTCTCAAAATCTGGTTTCCGCCTGATAAAGAATTTAACAGCAATTATGTTTAGGAAGCCACATTAATATTGCATGCAATTTAATGTGAGCGTATTGTATAATGCACGTGATTCCTGCTCGTGGTTTCAACAAGGAATTTTACATACAAGTTACATTTTTAAATCATACATTTCTATTTACTTAATATTGAAAATACATTTGCCGTCACCCACTCTCGTTTTGTAACTCACCAGGTCTCGGCATGATACTGACCTCAGGGCATATGAATATGCTGGCCGAGGGTTTGGTCAGCTGGGTCCTGCAAGCGGTGGCCACGGGGACATTCATCTACGTGACCTTCTTTGAGATCCTCTGGGAGGAACTCTTGGAGAAACGGGGTCTGCTGAGACTGTGCCTGGTGATCGCGGGCTTCGGAGGCATGGCTGTGGCAAAATACGTCGACAAGGGCTAACCTGCGTTGATTTTCGGCAATCGACTGCTTTCGTCTGCGGTCGCTAACTTGAGCACGTGATAGAATTGGAAGTGCAGACGCAGTGTTTTTAAATATTAACATATCCACCAGAATTGATTTCATAAATTCGTGCGCACCTTCACAGAAAAGTGCTGTCTGAATTCTCAATAAATATCTGCACAATTTAGCGTTAAACTAATGATTTGACCACGTGACTATGAAATTCACGTGGAGAGACGGGTGAAAGAGCAACTATAGATCGAATGAAGAGAAGGAGAAATCGTCTAGATAGAGAGGGAAGAGTAGATGAGAAGTAGCAGTCTAGATGTGAGGGGAATAGAAGAAAAGTAATATGGATTCTAGAAATATTGGCAGAACAGAAGAGAAGTAGCACTCTAGATATAATGGCAGAACAGAAGAGAAGAAGTACTCTAAGGGGCGAGAATAAGAGAAGTAGTCGTCTAGAAATGAGGGGAGAGAAATAATGTAAGGATGTAAAAAAGGAGGAGAATTAGGAAAGAAGATGTACTCGTGAAGGTTGAGTGAGTGTAGGGTGAGTGTAGGGTGGGTGTAGGGCGAGTGTAGGGTGAGTGTAGGGTGAGTGTAGTAAGTGGCGAGGAGAAAAGTATTTAGGAAGAGCAGTTATTGGGGAAGAGAGAGCACTGATTGGGGATAGACAGCAGTGATGGGCAGAGAGTACTGAAGAGGGAGAAAAAGAGAGCAGTAAATGGAGAGAGAGAGAAGTGACAGGGAGAGAGAGAGCAGTTAATGGGGTACAGAGAGCAGTGAATTGGGAGAGAGAGAGCAGTGAATGGGGAGAGAGAGAGAGAGCATTGAGTGGGAGAGATAGAGAGAGAGAGAGAGATAGAGAGAGAAGGGAATGAGGAGACCGAACAGTGAATGAGGAGATATTGAGCAGTGAATAGGGAGAGAGTAATGAATGGAAGAGTGAGCAGAGCAATGGTGATTTAGAGCAGTGAACGGGGAGAGATTAGTGAGTGGGAGAGAGAGCGGCGAATTGGTTAGAGAGTAGTGAATGGGGAAGGAGAGAGAGACAAAAACAGAGAGAGACCGAGAGAGAGAGAGAGAGAGAGAGAGAGAGAGAGAGAGAGAGAGAGAGCAGTGAATGGACGCAAAAAGAATTACCACCGACACCACTTTAATGAATAGGTTCGCTGAGAAGGTGGAGTTACAATCAGCGCCATTGTTAGTCACGTGGTAAAGGGAGGAAGAAATTGTTAATTAAATTGTTGTCATGTGTTCGCTTTTGTTGCTGTGGGAATGAATTAATAATATCAATGATAACACTTTATTTGTTATTGCTTTTAAACATGTTTATCTCACCTTCACCTTTGCTATCCGAGGGCATCATATCAATCACATGTTGTCATTGGCATCACATCAATCATGTGTTGTCATTGGCATCACATCAATCATGTGTTGTCATTGGCATCATATCAATCATGTGTTGTCTTTGGCATCATATCAATCATGTGTTGTCATTGGCATCATATCAATCATGTGTTGTCTTTGGCATCATATCAATCATGTGTTGTCTTTGGCATCATATCAATCATGTGTTGTCATTGGCATCACATCAATCATGTGTTGTCATTGGCATCACATCAATCATGTGTTGTCATTGACATCATATCAATCATGTGTTGTCTTTGGCATCATATCAATCATGTGTTGTCATTGGCATCATATCAATCATGTGTTGTCTTTGGCATCATATCAATCATGTGTTGTCTTTGGCATCATATCAATCATGTGTTGTCATTGGAATCATATCAATCACGTGTTGTCTTTGGCATCATATCAATCATGTGTTGTCATTGGCATCATATCAATCATGTGTTGTCATTGGCATCATATCAATCATGTGTTGTCATTGGCATCATATCAATCATGTGTTGTCATTGGCATCATATCAATCATGTGTTGTCATTGGCATCATATCAATCATGTGTTGTCATTGGCATCATATCAATCATGTGTTGTCATTGGCATCATATCAATCACGTGTTGTCTTTGGCATCATATCAATCATGTGTTGTCATTGGCATCATATCACTCATGTGTCGTTATTATTAATGTTATATCATTTTGTCTGATCGTGCACAGGCGTCCCAGGAGCACGGAGAGTGAAAGTGTGTTAACTTGTGAAAAGGTTTCTTTTATTTATACATATAATTTATGATAGTAAAAATAGTTTTATGAAACATTGTTTCACTAAATCCCGGTGTATTACTCGAAATCCGAATTTTTTAAATCTAAATCCCTGGGTACTTTTTTAAAAATCCAAATGTATTACTCTAAATCTCAATTTTTAGTCTAAATCACTACATTTAGAAAGTGTTTTTATTCCCCTATAAATCCTAAAATTTTACTAATTTCACTTTAAATCCCTACAAGTTTTTCTAAATCCAATTAAAAATCCCAAATTTTACTAATTTTACACCAAATCTCTACTAGTGTTTCTAAATCACTGATTAACCCTTAAATTTTACTGATTTTACTCTAAAAACCCGTGCGTTACTTAAAACCTCGAGTAGAATGTATCTAGGTTTAAACCCATCTAATCGTCCATTTAAATCTCCAAGTTACTCCTGACGGTAAACTATTGCATTGTTGTCAATCCTATCAACTTCTTACACTGCCGTCATGTTTATTTCTCCCTGAGAAACTATCCAATTTTTAATCCAGCTTTCTCCAAATGGTGGCCTGTGTACTGGCACCGGTCAAATGGTGGCCTGTGTACTGGCACCTGTCAAATTGTGGCCTGTGTACTGGCACCTGTCAAATTGTGGCCTGTGTACTGGCACCGGTCAAATGGTGGCCTGTGTACTTGCACCGGTGAAATGGTGGCCTGTGTACTGGCACCGGTCAAATGGTGGCCTGTGTACTGGCACCGGTCAAATTGTGGCCTGTGTACTGGCACCGGTCAAATGGTGGCCTGTGTACTGGCACCGGTCAAATGGTGGCCTGTGTACTGGCACCGGTCAAATGGTGGCCTGTGTACTGGCACCGGTCAAATGGTGGGCTGTGTACTGGTCAAATGGTGGCCTGTGTACTGGCACCGGTGAAATGGTGGCCTGTGTACTGACACCAGTCAAATGGTGGTCTGTGTACTGGCACTGGTCAAACAGTGGTCTGTGTACTGGCACCGGTCAAATGGTGGCCTGTGTACTGGCACCGGTCAAATGGTGGTCTGTGTACTGGCACTGGTCAAACAGTGGTCTGTGTACTGACAGTGGTCTGTTTACTGGCACCGGTCAAATGGTGGCCTGTGTACTGGCACCGATCAAATGGTGGCCTGTGTACTGGCACCAGTCAAATGGTGGCCTGTGTATTAGCACCGGTCAAATGGTGGCCTGTGTACTTGCACTGGTCAAACAGTGGTCTGTGTACTGGCGCCGGTCAAATGGTGGTCTGTGTACTGGCACCGGTCAAATTTACACAAGACAATCCCCATTATTCTGTACAAACACCAACACCAAATCTATGAGGGTACCTAATGAATAGATATTATTTATGCTTCAGTCAAGATAACTATGATGCACCTGTATAAAAAACATTTTTTGGGGTTAGTTTTTACCAGGACTAGATGTTCACATGGGAGGAGAAGAATTGGGAGGGGCACTGTCATGTAAACCCCCTGCTCACATGGGAGGAGAAGAATTGGGAGTGGCACTGTCATGCCAACCTCCTGTTGACAAGTGCGTCGCCTTAGTGCCGTCCAGAATACTGACGTGCCACTTGAGCGGAAACGGTCATAGCCATTTCTTCATTAAATGTCACATTAATTGTTTATTGATAACAAACGGGTCGCCATATAGTTTTTATGAACCAATCAATGTGTGCGACCTTCTGAATGAAAACAAAAAAACTTTTGTCTGACGTGTGTACTTTCCCCCGTCTTCTAAGCAGACATTTTAACAGCTGTATCTTCTCCGGTTTCAAAATAGCATCTTAATTTCATATTTCATTTTTCTATATTGCGGAGGTCCTATCAACCAACCCTTTAAATAAAGACCGGAATAGATATGTATTTTAAAAATTTTAAAGTACTGAGGAACCAATCACCCACCACTTCTACAGTGATTATTTCAGAAATTTTCCCCGGGGGGCACTTCAGATTTTTCTGGGGAGGGGGGTGCCAGCAGTGCCAGCTGATTTATTGTTGGACATATTTTTGCGCCGGGGGCACTTGGCTTTCCCCGGGGGAGCAGTGGCCCCCCCCCCCCGGGATATAGCTGAAAGAAACCATGCACGTCTAAGTTTGGCCCGAGCCTCCTTCTGTTTGGCGGAACACGTTAAAAATGGGGCACTTGGCTTTCCCCGGGGGAGCAGTGGCCCCCCCCCCCCCGAGATATAGCTGAAAGAAACCATGCACGTCTAAGTTTGGCCCGAGCCTCCTTCTGTTTGGCGTAATACGTTAAAAAAAAAAAATTAAAATGCTCAGGGTTAAAGGTCACGGGAACAAGTTTTGCTAGGGAAAAAAAGTCATAGAAAAACATTTTATTACCGTAATGTTATGTGCAAGTCCATATAAATATTTATTATCGACTCAGTATTAGTAAGTGGAAGTAAGAGACGGCTCATTGGGATATTGGTTAGATTTTCGCATGGGATTTAATATGTTTATGTGTGTTATTTGTGTTGGGTATACATATTTTAATCACGCAGTTAATTCTAGAATTAATTTCATTATAAGTTAACATTGTCATGCATTGTGCTGGTAAACGCGAATATTGCAGACTGAATAACAAGAAATGGTAGTGAGAAGTTAATTCTAGAATTAATTTCATTATAAGTTAACATTGTCATGCATGGTGCTGGTAAACGCGAATATTGCAGACTGAATAACAAGAAATGGTAGTGAGAAGTAAACGAAAGGGAAGAGATTAAGCTCTCGCCCAGAAGGATTGGGATTTGATTCTGATTTAGGGTGACATATGTTTTTACATTGTGAGTGTGTGTGTGTGTGATTTTGATTTAAAAGAATCCGCCTCTGCTCTCCCCCCCCCCTCCCACATTTCTAACACAGTGAAGGAATTAGAGACCGACCGAATGGGATTTTCTGATTTTCGCAGAAACCTAAATATTCAGATATTTCGAAACTCGTTCGCGCATACGCTCTGCATACATGAAAATAAGATTATCGTAAATTTCATTCGATAAAAATCTAATGAATACTTTGGCTCTACCATTTGAATTAAAAAGTAATTAAAGGTAGTATGATGAGAGAAAACTTTGACCAGGGGGAGGGGGGAGGTGGTCATGCAAAAGAAATCTTTGCGAGTCCTTTGCTTTTTTTAATATAATTACAACTCTAGATATATTTGGTATCGACCGAAAGCTCAGCTTATGTATTTTTTTACTTGTATGGCCCACTAACATTTCCAGACATAAGCCTTGAAGGAACTCTTTGTTCCCCTAACCCTGGAAGGAACTCTTTGTTACCATAACCCTGGAAGGAACTCTTTGTTCCCTTAGCCCATACGTTTTCGTTGAAACATGCTTACGTGTCGGTCGACATTTAAATTGTCTTTTCTTGGAAAACTCTTGGTTATCGGCTAATTTTAGAATTCTGGTCGACAGCCGGAAGCCTCCAACACTTTTGGCTGAAACCGAAAATACAGCAATTGTTAACTTTCTTTTATCGTCCAAAACTGAATTTACGCCGAAACTGAAATTCGCACTGCCTCTAAAAATGTCTTTTTCCTGTTTGGTTTTTCCAATTATTTTAAAATCACTTCCTTTCTACTTCTCTTTACTTTGTTTTTGTCTGGTTTCAGCGCCCTCTCCTATATTTTTTCTGTTTTAGGTAGGTTATGTATATTGATAATATGTAAATTTAATGTATACTTACTTAAATGTGTTTTGTTTGTTTGTACTGATGAAGGCATGTGCCGAAACGTTTAATTGTGTATAATGTATAATTATTATTAAAGCGTAACTTATATTGTTCTATTGACACAATTTGTTCGTGTCTTATTAATATATTTTAAAGCTTTATCGCAGTCCAACACTTTTTATAATCAGAGGAAAGCACGGCAAATTGCATTGTGGTAGTAGTTAAGTGATAACACGAACCAAATAAAGCATCATTGTCGTTATTGAGTGTTGTCCCGAAAGATATAAACATATCTTTGTTCCCCATTCTCGTCAGATTTGACCAGTGTGATCGTGCGACTGTTCTTGTAAATAGAATTCAAATTATTTTTTTTACAATGTTTTTCTTTCAGACGTTTCTGTTTATGTGATACTTATCTATGCATAAATATTTGTATAAATGGCTCTGATTTTCATAGTTTGTCTTCTTATCACTTATCTCACTGTGAATTTTGTTCCATTTAC